GTTCTTCGAGCCCTCGACGAAACCTTCACGGACGTTCTCTTGCCACAGCATGCGAAACACCTCGTGGACATTGTGCGGCATGGAGCTGCGCTTGTCGTAGACGTGGGCCACCTGGATGGCGGCGCGCCTCTCGCGAGGCTCGCCGCGGATCAGCTTCGCCGCCGTCTTGGCCAGCTGCTTCTCCTCGTCGCTGGCATGGCGCTTCCTGCCCATCGCCACCGGCGGTGCCCGCGGCGCTGGGCCTGCCGCCGCCGATGCCCCGCTGCCGACGTCGACGGTCAATCGCCTCCTCAGCAGCTCCCGTTGCTCGGCCCCATCGGGCGGCGGCAAGGATGCTGGGCCTGGGGCCGCCGTCGCCGCTGAAGGCGGCGATGGCTTCACCGCCGGCGGCGCCGGCGACGCGGCTGTCACCGACGGCGGCCCTGGCGCCGCGCCCCCCGATGCCTTCGCCGTGGCGGCCGTCGCCGGCGTCGGCGGCGGCGTCAGCGGCTTGGGCTTAGCGGCCGCCGAAGCTGCCTGCGGCGGCGACTGGTGGGTGGCTGGCATTGGCGGCGGTGATTGCGTCGCCGCCGGTGGTGGCGGCGACTTGATGGCTGCCACTGCCGACGGATCTGGTTCGTCTTCGACCTCGACGATCGTCTTGTCAATCACCGAGTGACGCGCCGCCTTGTGGCTGATCACAGGGCCCACCACGCGCAAGGGAGTTGGGACAAGGCGCGACGCCAGGGACGCCTGAGACGACGGTGGCGCCTGCGGCTCAGGCTCGGGCAACTCCTCAGGCTGTGTCTCCTCCAAGAAGTCGCGATGGTTGAACTGCGGTAGGGTATCGCCATCCTGGCCGTGGAAATGCAATGATGATCCATGCCCAACTTGGGAATCCTCGGCGAGCTCCCCTGCGAGAGAATCAGTCAGGCCCTGATACTGAGAATCAGCCATGGCGAGACGAGTGGCGTGTTCTTCGTCAATGGATATACAGATACACAGCAGTGTTAGCCTCGCCGAGACGAGATGCCTTAGCCAAAATGGGCTACGGAGGAGGAGGAGGGGGAGGGATGAGGTGGCAGCCACGTCGTTTCACTGTCATTGTTTCTGGTGCAAACACTGTTTGGGGAACATTTCGCGGGGCCTTCGGCGACGCGGTCTTGCAGGCGCAGTTTGAAACTTGGGGAGGGGGCCTCTCACAGGGCGCAAGCACTGGTTGGGGAAACTGGTTGACGAACTGAGTGCAAAGCACTCCCGACCCCCTCAAGTAGGGAGCTCCCGACCCCCTCAAGTAGGGAGCGATGAGGGGTTGATCGAAAAGGGCTCTGGCTGGCAAAACCGATTTGCTGGCCAGCAAATCGGTTCTGCCAGTCAGGAGCGCCACCGACTGGCAGAAACGATTTGCTGGGCCCCCTGGCGGCCGGCAGAAACGATGTGCTGAGCAGATGCCGTGCCCCAGCAAATCGGTTCTGCCAGTCAGGGGCGCCCCCGACTGGCAGAACCGATGTGCTGGCCAGCAAATCGGTTCTGCCAGTCGGAGCCTCTTCGGGGCGCTCCCGACTGGCAGAAATCGGGGGCTTCGGGGGCGCCCCCGACTGGCAGAAATCGGGGGCGCTCCCGACTGGCAGAAATCGGGAGCGCTCCCGACTGGCAGGCATCGGGGGCGCCCCCGACTGGCAGGAATCGGGCGCGCATATCGGCGCGGCGCTCCCGACTGGCAGAAACCGACGGCGCCCCCAGGATGATGATGAGGAGGAGGAGGCTCTGAGGAGAAGGACCCAGGCTCAGGCAGGAGGACCAGGAGGAAGAGGATGAGGAGGAGGAGGGCGAGAGAAAAGGGGGATCCAGGTCGGACAGAGGTCCGCGGAGGAGGAGGGGAGGATAAGGGTGAAGTGGAGGAGGGGATGGAGGCAGGAGGAGCGGGAGGGAGCGTGACGACGACGACGACGGCGGCGGCGGTGGCGACGGCGGCGGCTGCGGCGGCGGTGGCGGCGGCGACGACGACGACGCGACGAGACAGGCATGTTGAAGCGTTTCCAATCCCCAGTCGGAGGCGTCTGAGGGCCTCCTAAATGCGCCAGTCGCTGAGACCAACGTCGAGACGCATGCGCCCCCGCCGGCAATGGCCAGGCGCATCTTAATTGTTGCGTAGTGCCCTAGCGCCGTCCACCAACATCTCAGAACGGCCTCTCAGCAGCCGTGATTGCTGCCTTCATTATGCGCTGGATGACCGTCTTAGTAAAGCCATTGCCAATCATGGAGCCCAGTGCCCAGTCCGAATGCGATGATAAATCCACGCCAGCAATCTCGTCGTTGGTGAAGCCCTGCAGCCGCATCATCTCTTTACAAGTCAAGCGTTTCGCCGTCTGCAGGTCCATGTAGGAGCGGCCCTTGCATCTGGTAGCGGTGAGGCACGGGGAGTAGCCGATTGCCATGTTGAGTTTCGTGCTGCCCATATCCACGATCACGCCGTAATCCGTCGCTGACTTGTTTTCATCATCGGCCTTGGCTTTGATGCGCTCCAAGGCTTGCGAGGTGTGGCGCTGCACCGTAGGGCTGAACATCTCCATGGGGTAGGCGTTGTAATCCACGACAGGCGGGCGCGGGTAGTCGTAAATAATGTCCAAGCTCAGCGGCGCCACAGGCGTTGGCCAGTCGAACTTGATGGCATTCCGGCCCATGCGCTTGACGGCCACGATATAGACACGTTCTCGATTTTGTGGCACGCATCCGACGTCGAGTGAGTTGAGCGTGTCTATGAACACGTCGTAGCACGTCCCCCCGTTGTATTGTCAACGATGGCCTTGATCTTCCTCACGATGGTGTCCAGCGTACTCTTGTGTTTGGACGCCAAGCCCGGCACGTTCTCCAGCAAGATCACGCGAGGCTGATGCTTTTCGATGTTTTGGATGATGTACCTCGCGACGTTGCCTCTTGGGTCACCAGTGCCCAAATGTTGGCCAGCTAGGCTGAAGGGTTGGCACGGGAATCCAGTGGTCAGGATATCCACGTAGGGCGCATTGTCCACGAAGCCGTTGGTGGCGTCATCAAACTCATAGGCAACATAGACGTTCGCCCGCAACCACTCCTGAGCCTTCTTGTCCTTCTCGCACCAGAACACGTGCTCAAACGCGTAGCCGCGGATCGCATCGAGCGCCCAATGATCCGTCCCCATGCCCGAGCAGATCGAGCCGACGAGGGTGACGGCTGGCATATTGAAGTTGACCTTAGACGCGGTAGGAAGGCCCCTGGCATACTTAGACGCAGCCGCTGGCCGCTGGTGGATGCTAGCAGCCGCTGGCTTCTTCTGAATGGTTTTCTTGGCCGACTGCTTAGCTTTGGCCTGTGCGGGTGCCCGGCCGCCCGTCGTCGGCGGAGCGCTCGTCATTGCAAGCCCCCAATCCAAATCCACGTTGGCATTGACTTGTCTGCGGCCGCAACAACCCTGAACACATTGGGCATAAACGGCTGCAGCATGCGGCATCAACCTAGAGACGCCCAACAACAAGATGGAGGACAGACGACGACGATGACGACGACGAGTACGAGAGTGGCGACGCGGAGGAGGGCGGAGGGGGACGGGGGATAAGGCCAGAGAACATAGGAAGTGGAGGAAGCAACTGGGGGGAGACCTGAAAGGGGAGGGAGACTCGATGAGAAAGAGCGCCCCCCGCTCGGTTGGGCAACAACAACGAATGGAATGGGGCAGGAGGAGGAGGAGGAGAAGGATGAAGAGGAGGAGGAGGTCCTCCTCCACCTCCTCCTGGAAGGGCCCCGGCTGCAGAAAAGCGCGGGCGGCCTGCGCAGTGAAGACGAACTCGAAATAAGGCCCGTTGGCGCGCCCCTCCTTCTCCGCCCTCCTCCCTCCTTCCTCCTCCTCCTCCTCCTCCTTATCATCGTTTCATTTCCTCACCTCCTCCTCATATCCTCCTCATTTCCTCATCCTCGCCCCGCTCCCTCACTCGCTCGCTCATCATCTCTCCTCTCCTTTTCCTCCACGTCTTCTTCCCGTCGAGGAGGGCCAAACAGGAGGACGATCACATTTTCCTCGAGCGGCAAAGGCGGCCCATGGCCGCGGTTACTTGTTTTTTGCTCAGGTTTACCTCTGGAGGGCAACCTATTTCCCCAAACGTCTTTCGAGCGAAATCTGAATCACAGCGCATGCGGGGTGCTTCGCCCTATAATATGAAACAGCTGTTTCTCTCAGGGCCCCCTTGCTACACCGTCGCGCATCGCTGCCCCTGTAGAGCATGCAGAGCCAAGAGGGGGGACTGCATGAGGCTGAGGAGGAGGCAGGAGGAGCAGGAGGGGGAGGAGCAGCGCCGAGGAAGCGCCATAGGAGGATGAGGATCTGAGACTGAGAGGAGGGCGAACGGCGCCGGCGGACCACTCACGCATCCAGAGTCGCAAGCTTCTCCGCGAGGGCACTCTGCAAGTCGCCCCCGCTGGTTTCGGTCTTGGGCTTCTTATTGGGCGGGGGCGTGACTTCGTCCTCCTCGGACGGCTGTTTCGGGCCCGGCGTCGGCGCATCTTTCTTGTTGATTATATCAGACAAGCTTTGGTCGAAGAGCGGGTGGCCAGGGGTGCGCATCAGCATCAACATCGTGTTCTGAAGAAACTTTTCCATCTGAACCTTCAGGGCGCAGCAAACCCGAGCTAATAAGGGGGTGGAGGGTTACTAACGAAACAAGCCACGACAACGGGCGGTATGATTTGCATTGGGATCAGCATTAGGTTTGGAATGCAGGTTTGGAGGTCGAGATGGTGAGGGTCAGCGTCGCCGCCGTCGTCGTCGTCGACGTCGTCGTCGTCGCCGTCGGCCCCATCGCTGAAAACAAACAACAAAAAAGCTAACTGCCCCGACCCTGCCAACAGACCCAATCCAGAGCTTCTCTTATTCATCACTCATGATCCTACCTCATGGCACAGACCCTACAATACTCAGCCCATGGGCCGTCGGGGGGGGGGGAGGGCGGGGGAGGGGGAGGGGGAGGTGGAGGAGATAGTTTATCTGACCGCTATACCTTCTGCTCCTCAGTGTAGCACACTCCGAAGTACGGCACGTCCTTGATCAGCGAGTGCATCGCGTGCACCCCGTTGCAGCCCGTGAGGTCGATGTTGGCCACGCCGTTCACGCCGCTGGTGACCTCGTCGTAGACGTGCGGGTTCATGCCATGGTAGTTGAACGGCACCATGTCCTTGCCCTTCGGCCCAGGGTCGGCTTTGGCATCGTCACCGGCGACTGCCCCTCCGGCCAGGATCCACGCCGAACCGTACAAGCTCGGCTTATCGCTGTGCTTGACCGTCCACGTGAGCGTATCGGTCTTCGTTGGTTTGTCGAACTTTCCAATCACTGGGTCTTTGTTGGTGCCCTCGCTGTACAGCTTCTTCTTCTCGGGGATCTCGGAGCCCTTGCTGAACTGGAAAACGAACTCCATCGTGGGGAGCCCGTAGACACCAGAGTAGTTGCCCTTAGTCTCCTTCAAGGACTTCTCGGTGGTCTGCAGGAAGAGGATGCGCTTATCCTTCTTGAGCGCCTTCCCATCCTTGCCCTGGAAGGCCTTGCCGAACTTCAGCTCGTTGCCGTGAACTCCGCCGTCGAAGATGTTGTAGATTACGTTCCAGGGCATCTCATCGTCCGGCTGATCGTCGCGACACAGGGCAGCCAGCGATCCTTTGATCATGCGGTCGTAGTGCTGGTCCCTGAAATGATTAATGCGGAGATGCCCGCGAGCATTCGGGTGCCCAGACAGCTTGGTGTCGTAGATGACGACGACGTTCTGGTCGCTGCCAAGCTCCATATCGAGCCCCTTCCACCACGTTGAAAGCGCTTCCGCCACGCCTGTAGGGGAGCCAGGGTCCACGATGAGCTTCACAACTCGGCTGTATCTGTTCTTCACGAAGTTCGAAAAGGGTTTCAGCGCATCCTGCAGTTTGGGATCCGTCAGCTTGCTCTTGATCGGGTCCCCTGTGAACTCATCCTCCTCGTCGGAGTCCACGAGGTCCTGCATCGTGACTTCGGTGGCGTCATCCTGCGGCGCAGCGTCTCCCTCCGCCACGAGGGCCGTGTAGATGGCGTCGATCTTCTCCTTCAACGGGGACCTGTCGAGAATCTCCCCCACCGGCGAGCCCTGGATCTTCTGCTGCTTGATCTGCAAATCGTAGTCCACCTTGAAAAGGCACTCCTCGAAGACGGAAATGGCCAACTTAGAGGATTGCTTCATAGCGGTGCGCCAGGACACGTCCTTCTCGCCAGCCTTGTACCCGACCATGGTGCGGCACGCGTCGTGCCCGACTGACCATGCCTCCATCCGTTGGAGCGCCCCTGCGTTGAGACCCATCGCCCGAAATTTCGTGATGAAGCAGTGCCCGAGCTCGTTCTTGGCAATCAGCAGGTCTAGCAGTCCTTTCCCCCCTGGGAGTCCCCGACCAGTCAGCTGGCGAAGGCTGATTTCACCCGCCGATGTCATCTTGGAGGTCACCAGGTCCAGCAGCCCAGCAGTGCACCAGTGGATCAGGCTACTCGATTGCGCCCTCTTCACCACTGCCTCGTACTTGTAAATGCTGTCGAAAGGCGTCACCCCAGTAGAGTCGGCCTCCACCGCGATCTTCTGCGCATAGGGGTTGTTCATGAGCCTGGCCCCCACAATAAAGCAAGCGTCCACGTACGTGTCCGAAATCTTCTCTGAGCTCGGTGCCATGGATACCTTCTCGGCCCACATCTTGGCCGTTTTCTGCGCGCCCACCTCATGCCCGACAGAGGTCTCGATCACATCCTTGCTCTCCGTGACGTCGAAGAATCTCTGCGTTGCCGTGCGCTTGACCGCGCCACCCATGCCGGCGATGCTCTCGCGCAACCCATGGGCCGCCCAGTACGAGTCCATTCCTGGGAGACGTGCCGAACATACATCACGCGCAAACCAATAACAAGCCCTGGGCAAAGTTGCATCTAGTCTGCGTTTTCACTCGATGCTTGAAGTAGCCAAAAACGAAATTAAAGCAACAACGCAACAACATACAAACCTGATATATCAAAAACATGTGAAACCCAATCTACAGAGGGCATGTGGAGGCAAGGCCGCCCGTGATGCACGAGCGCACTCGGGCGGGGTATTGCTGCCCCGGCGGTCCTCCGTCGACGACGTTGAAGGTGACTGGGAAGGTGATCAGCGCGCGCTTCAGCATGGCCACCTGCTCCGGCGTGGGGCTGGTCTCGAGAAGCTTGGCCGATCCGATGATGACGGCCCAGATGATCTCGGGGGGGGAGGCCGTCACCAAGCTGCCGAACATATCCGCGATGGGAACGGCAGGGTCCGTGATGCTGACCGTCGCCGTGAAAGCCGAGGGGAAATTGCCCTTGAATCCGTTCTGGTAGACCACGTCGATCAGAGAGTTCAGCTCGTTGAGATTCGCGTGGGCCCGTTTCGCGGGGTTGCCGTGCAAGTCCAACTGGAAGATGTTGAATCCAACTGGGCCGTGCGTCTTAGCTGTATTCAGGCACGCCTGGCTGGTATCGTTATCGAAGGGCGCGATCGTTGACGTCAGGCTGACGTCCGTCTGTTCGCGCGAAGGCAGCGGCAGCGGAAGGCTCGTGCCGACGTTGCCCATGTCCTGGTGGCCCACGATCATCTGCTTGGCCGCCGTGACGCGGCTCATCAGAGAGTTGTTCATGCTTTGCGTGATTCCGCTTGAGCTGCTGGCAGTCGCACCAGGGGCCTGCCTGGACTGCGACCGCACCGAGGAAGGCGACCCCTCGTCCGTGACAAGACTGTCGACGCTGCCGAGGCTCCCACCCAGGCTGGCTGCGACAGCGCCGGCCGCCACGCCTCTCGCGCCGACTCCGCCTGTCCCCCTCGCGACGCTGTCGAGGGACGCGTCCTCCAGCCCAGGCGCGGCGCCGCTGACCTCCGCCGCCGGCGGCTCCGCCTTCGCGTCGTCGGCGCGGCCCCGGCCACCACGGCCGCGGCCGCGGCCGCGGGCGGGCGGCTGGGCGCCAGCCGCCTTGGGGGTCGCCCTCTTAGAAGAAGCCTGGCCCCTGGGCGCCATGCTCTCAGACAGTCAGACTCGAAGAGAGAAAACAGAGGAATGCAAGCTCCTCAGGAAGGGTTTGGCGCCAAAGCGGCTGCGGCAACCCAAGCAGTACTTGCGCGCGAGGGAGGAGGATGACGAGGAGGAAGAGGAAGGGGGAAGAGGAGGAGGAGGGGGAGAATGTGGGGGGATCGAGCCAGAGAGTGACTCTTATGATGGCAAGCGGCAGCGACGTGATGACAATGAGGAGGCCGCACAGAAAGCGTATGCTAAGAGAGACCTTGAAAGGGGGGTCGGCGTCCTCCGAAGTACTTCAGCATTCCTGGATTGCATGGCGAAGACGATCCTTATGGTGAATAGCACGTTTGCGGACCATCGTCTTGAACTCTACCAGGCCAGGAAGATGTTGATTGGAGACTACGGGCCTCTCGTCTTTCCTCCAGATGTGGCGTCTTATCGCAATTTGCTTGTAGAGACCCTCTGGACCCAGGAAAACCATATGTGCAGCATCGAGGCTAACATGTGTCAGGCTAGGGAGCAGTGTATGGCACAAAGCAGGGCTATGAGAGGCCCATGGCCTAACGCCCCCAGCTTCGACAACGTGTGAGGAGGTAGCGTACTCAGAGATTTAATGCCCGCGTGTGGAAGCCTCTTACAGCTTCAGACCAGTATGTTTCTGCTGATCGGGCTGCGCAGTCAGCAAGCGTCTGCTCCCTACAGCTTTCAGACCAGTATGTTTCAGCTGATCGGGCTGCGCAATAGTGAAACAAAAACGTGCTCTTGCGCTTCATTGAAACCGATCTCTTACGACGCCCCATCTGATGAAAGGGCCCCGGCAATGATATCCTGGAAACTCTGAAGCCAATAATGGGTCTCGCGCCGAAGCGGCTTTTGCGACCCAAACAGCACTTGCACTCATTCGGAGGAGGCTGACGAGGAGGATGTTGAGCTGTTTGATGTTGGGATAATGCGCTTCGGTCGTTTGATGTTCAGCTGTTTGGTGTTGGGATGTTAAGCTGTTTGCTGTTGGCTGTTTGATGTTGGAGTCGCCGTCGGCGGGGGGAGAAGGACCTCGGAGGTCTGGGGAGGATGGGGAAGAGGATGAGAACGGAGGTGGAGGGGGTGGAGGGAGGGGAGGGACGGGCAGGGATGATGGGGGCGGAGGGATTAGGGGCGAGGAGACGGGGGAGAGGAGCCAGGTGATGGAAAAGGATAGGGGCGATATTGGGAGCAATGTTTGCACTGTCACTCCATCTGCGCAACCGCCGTACGAGCTGCAGAACATATGGGCGCAATTGCTGTTCCAAGGCCTACGGCCCTGGTGTATCACTTCAAGGCCAAAGACCCTGAGCAACACTCATCGCAAACGCACCATACCAAAATACCACATCGCCGACCCAGTTTGGGCCACAGGCATGCTGATGTTATGAACCTCATGCTTTCCATATGTCACGCATGCTACAAATGTGACGCACATCGCCTCCATGTGAGGGCGAAGCGAGATTAAATACATACGTGCACCCGTGCAAATCGCATTGGTAGCTCGCTGCGCACTGCACGCACATAATCAACATGCATGGCCTGCTGTGCTGGCTGGAATGCCTCGGATGGGCAACGCAACAAAGCAGCGAATTTTTTTCTGGGCCAGGGCGAATACTTGAAACCGCGCTGAATATCACTCACCGCTGCGGCTTCGCTTTCTTCCACAAAGAAGCCGCAAACAACCCTTGATGGTCGATGTGGTCGTAAGGCCTCTGGGACTGCACATGCTCCAAGTACTGAGCATACGTCCAAGCATCTTGGCTGCTACCCCAGTGACGCTTCTCATGCGGAATGGCATCGTCTTCCATGTCGGGGTCTGCAATCGCTCGCACACGAACCGCCTCCTGGTAGTCATCCTTTACTGCTGTCATGATCCCTGCGCTCAATGCGCAATCATATTCTCCAAGAAATACGACCGTATGATTGCATGAGAAAGCGCAGCGGACTGCGGCCACGACGTCGAATCTTCCATTCTGAAATGTAGGCCCAACCCATAATGATTGCTCCCCCGAAACTATTGCAACCTGCTTCTGCCCAGCATTGAGACAAACTTCATCGCCCTCCTCATCTTCCCAATTGCACTGTTTTGGCGACCACGTGAAGGGCAAATCACTCATGGGGGCTGTCATCGCCCAAGACTTCGATTTCGCCACTGCCTTGTGAATGTCTCCAATTGCGTCCAGGTCAGTTTTCCTGCATAATGTAATCATCGCCACATTTGGTAGCTGTCCACGAACGGCCCCCCATACCATCTGATTGTAGGGCCCGACAGAAAAGTCTGATCCTTTGTCTTGCTTGGGGATGTTTTAATATTCGCTCGGGCAAAAATATGTTTGACATTATCACCAGACCACCTTTGTCAATTGATGCGCAATCCAACGTATGACCCAAACAAAACGCGTTGGCAACTTTGATATGCACACCCATCGCAGTCAACCTAATCATGTTTAACTGAGCCCCCGGCCTTTTAGAGAAACCAACATCTGCTACTATGCAAGCCATATGGTCGAAGTCTCAGTATCAAATCAATACGCCTTGGCACAGATTGGTCCTCAAACGGCGGCGGAGCAATGTGAAGGCAATTGTGTTAATGCTGATGTTCACATTTAATGCTGTGTTTTTGTTTTCTGAATTGTTTTCGGATGTCTGCGATACGATGGTGATATGATGGCGTTGATATGATGATATACAGCTGTGGTCATCGTGATGATGGCCATAATGGTGTTGATGACGTCGATTGTGTTGTACGCATGTGGTAATGTTGCGTGTTATGGTGTATTTGCTGTGGATGTGGTCCTGCTGTTGGTGGTGCTGTAGTTGATGATGATATGGATATGCTGTTGGCGGTGCGGTTGACTGTTTTTTGGTTCTGCAACCATCACATGTTACACATCACCACCAACAACAACCGCACACCAACATCATCATAGACACGATCAACACGTTAACACACTACCAACGTACAATCATCAACATGTCAGACATCACAACAACATGGCGCTCATGACCAACATCACCTCCACATTAACAGCATACTCGTTGCAACCACAAGGAACATCATATAACATAACCATCTTCTCGCAATCGTTACCAACTCACTGCGACTATCGTCATCATAACCATATCATCACCATGTCATTATATCAGCATATCATCATCGCCAACCACCGCTACCATCATCATCTCATCGTGACCATCATCATCACAACCACCATCATCATCGTCACCATCATCGTCATCATCGCGGTGGCGACCACCACCCGACCAGGAGGGTCGGGAGACACACACCCCCTGCTATGGCCACCCAAGTTGTGGACGCGTCCTCAGAAACCGGGGGGGTCCTCAAGATCGGCACCGGGATAATCAAGATGATGCCGATCAGATCGAGGAACAACTGCGGACAGAAAGATAAACTTTCGGAGGTCCGCGCTGACGTCTTGGATCGGCGCTGGACCCCCTCCCTGGCGCGCGGCGCGCGCCTGGGGCAGCACTGGAGGCGCCGCCAGGGGGCCCCCGCGCCGATCCGAGAAATCCGCGCGGACCACCGCCTATCCAAGAAATCCGAGCGGACCTCCGAGAATTTATGTTTGTGCCGTGTTTGGTGTCCCGATTTCGGTCGTCCCGGTTCATGCTTACGCCATCCTTGGTTCGCCGATGCTGCGTCGAGCGTCCGTCGACTTGAGTCGAGCTTGAGCCGAGCTTGAAACGAACTCGAGTCGCGAGCTCGAGTCGAGCTCTTGAGTCGAGCTGGAGCCGAACTCGAGTCGAACAAGTCCGTTAGGTGCCCCCAGGAAGGCCCCCCAAACCAGCACCTAGATTATTGGTTCGCGGATCCGACAGATAGGAACCCATAGATCCGATGTCGTGATTTTTCCAATGCGGGGTCCCCGGAAGTCTCGACCCCTTCCCGGGGACCGGCTCTTCATCCTGAGTCGTTTTTGGACGGTCCTGGGGCCGGCGAGTGCCCCTGTAGGGGCCGACAATTGAAAAAAACCTACGTCCTCACTGTTCCAACGCGTTGGATCTCGGGGGCTGCGCTCGAGGCCGGTGACGCGCGAGGCGGTGCCCGCCGGCCGCCGGGCTGGCCGCAGAGCGCCGCGGCCGCGCACGCGAGCCCCAGCGGCCCCAGGGCGCCGCCAGCAGCGCGGGCGCCCGGCGGCGCGCCCGCGGCGGCGGAGGCGTCCTCGGGGCTGCAGGTCCACGCGGGGGGGGAGGCTCCACCCGAGGGGGACGGATGAACAGGCAACGGCAGAAGCTTATCTTGCTCCCATCGTACTGCACGACCACATCCCAAAATGATGTCGAGCACCCGGAAAAGTGTCGAAAGAGTGTCGAAACAGTGTCGAACGAGTGTCTCCCAGGGCCCGACACGTGAAAACCCCTTAGGTTTGGGCACTTCCTTGGTACTCGAAACTCTGTCTGGCGGTCAAGGCTAAAGTAGGTTGGAACAGCATAAGCACGAGCATACATGTTCGGAGGGCCGCGCTGATTTCTTGGATCTGCGCTGAACCCCCCTCCCTGGCGCGCGGAACGCGCCAAGGGGGCCCGCGCGGACCGTCGACAGTTTTCGTTTATATCGATTTCTCCTCTTCGATAAGGAGGCGTCCTTGGGGCTGCAGGTCCACGCGGGACCCAAGACCCCCTCGCGTTGTAAAACAAATCACGATGGGAGATTTCGAGTCAGGCTTCGGGACCGTCAGAAAACGACTCAGGATTAATAACAGGTCCTGGGGAAGGGGTCCAGACCCTCTGGGGGTCGACGTTGTGAAAAAAATCACGATGTGGGGGGTCTGGGGAGGAGCTCTCTTCCCGAGACGGAGGAGTCTCCTCCCGAGGAAGCCCCCCAGTAGCGTCCACTTGGGAGGAGGGTTCAGGGTTTGGCAGAGGGTTCAGTGCCAGAACTGACGGAGCGACGAACAAAGCCAAAATTCCTGACCGTATCTG